TTGTCCACTTGCCCCAAAAGAAATGGCAACGAAGATAAACAGATTTGAATGGAAAATATCTCCCACGCACATTAGCATTTGCAAAACATTCATCTGAAAAGCAACCTATTTTGTGTGTGTGTGTATGTGTAAGAGAGACTCCCTGGCTCTGAATGGCATCCAAAGAAATGGAAGCGGCCATTGTGTACGTCTCGAGGCTTTTGGAACGGAAAGGTCTTGCGTGTTTCGCTCTCCAGGCCATTAGGATTAACCAACACACGACACTTGAGTAAACAAATCTCACTTATTGTCCAACATCGCTCAGGAATCCAGGCCCTCCAGATGCCTCCTTTTCAATGTTTAGACATCATTCCGTTGAACAATCTCATTCAAGAAGTTTTCGTGCTTCGTGAATAATAGCCTCCCGGTCCAGCTATTAGGCTTAAAGATGGCGCAGGAGTTGACTGATGCGGATCTGGTGACAGTCAGAGAACAATGTGAAGTCGTAGGCTTTCATGGCTGGCATCCATAGTTTTTTGTGGGTTTTTAGGGCTGTGTGGCCATGTTCTAGAAGAGTTTCTTTCTGACGTTTCGCCAGTTAGAGAACAGTGGGATAATTTATGGTTTTACGTTTATTATGGGTCTTTGCAGACTGCCAGAAATAGTGCAAATTGAGTCCACTTTAAGGGTTGTATGTACGGTATATTTTATTCTTGTTAGCTGCCCTGATTGATCTCAAAGGGGCGGGATATAAATAAACATTATTATTATTATTATTATTATTATTATTATTATTATTATTATTATTGTGCTAGGGAGTCATGGGAATTGTTTTTTTTTTTTTCTGAGACATTGAGCCTTCTCTGTCAGAGAGCTCTGGTGCCACAATAAACTACAGTTTCCATGATTCCCTAACCCTAACCCTAACCCTTAAAGTGGACTCAATTTGCACTATTTTTGGTAGTCTGCAAAGGTCTTGCATCGCTGATATTATGGCTGCCCTAAACAGTTCAACTTAGCTGTAATGTATAGCCTTGGCTAATCTGTGCACTAAATGATTGGCTATTTTAGCAATAATCTGTTATTTAACTGCTGCACCTTTTATCTCAATTACTGTCCCTCAATTACTGTAACTGAATGCACTGGTTTGCTTTTAATTATTTTAATTATTTTAATTATTGCTGTACCCTGCCCCGATTGCTTCGCAGAGGGGCGGGCTATAAATAAAAATTTATTATTATATAATTTATTATATTTTAAATCTTAAAGGAAATCCTGGAATCTCGTGGGTTAGTTTCAATGAGAGTAAAGCCATTCAATCCATTATTGAGTGGTGAGTCAACAGATGAGTAAATCCAATTGATTCAATAGCCCTACTCTAGTCAGTACTAACAGTAGGATTTAGGTCTGTACAGTATGAACTCCATTATCTGCAGGACTGGTACCCACGATTTCACTTTCCCATGTCCCCAAAAATATGTTCTCTCTAGGCATTTTTAGGTCCTCCAGTGCAATTCTATGATATGCTTCTGGCAGAAGTTAACCATAGAGTTGTGCTGGAGGACCTAGAAATGCCTAGAGAGGTGTTCTCTCTAGGAATTTCTCAGTCCTCCAGCACAACTCTGTGGTTGACCTCAGCTGGAAGTCATCCATTTCAATAGGGTTTGCACTGCTTTATATTTAAAATTTAAAGGAAATCCTGGAATCCTGTGGGTTAGTTTCAACTAGGTTCTCCAGCACAACTCTGTGGTCAACGTCTGGCAGAGTTGCGCCGGAGGACCTAGAGATTCCTAGAGGGAACGTATTAATCAAAGCCGCAAATAATCAAATCTGCAAAAGTCAAATCCACAAATGTGGAGGGACAACTATATA